AAGACGCATAGAACCTCGCACAATGATGCGAATGTGAGCGAAGACGCATAGAACCTCGCACAATGATGCGAATGTGAGCGAAGACGCATAGAACCTCGCACACTGATCGGCGTGGAATGACGGAAACACGTGTGCACTACATAGACCACAAGTTCCTTAGGGAAGGCACCAAATGTAAGGTTGTACTTGGCGTGACGTATAGCGGGTACCGGGTAATGAGTAACGGTAGTGTAAAACACAAATCAAACACGAACTAGAGGCGTAACGTACTACAAACACGTATATATTATAAGCCATGACAACAGTGATTTACAAATAAGCTGTAATGCGTACAGGGAACGTGCAATACAACAGTTGGGTGAAACAATGGGGAGAGGAGTTCTCCCGGTCCAAGCGCGGCGCGCCTTTTATATGAGCCCGGACTTCGTGACCGACATCCGGGCATTATCTTCTCACCTCCTGAGCTTCGCCAGGTCGCATCCCTATGCGCCCTGCGAACAAACGTTGCTTCGCGTGCACCGCGTGCCCCCTCCCCGCACTCCATCTGTCGACCACGCTATCTGGTCAGTTTATTAGACACCTCTATACTTGCTCTGTGTGCGACATCTCTGCTTGCTATAGGCGCCCTGAATAATTTAGTGAGCTCGCGTAATGCTAGCTCGCGCGTAGCATCGCTACACAATGATGCGAATGTGAGCGAAGACGCATGCACGGAACCTCGCACAATGATGCGAACAATACGATCAAGATCAAGAAAATTTCCAAGCATAACTTGTCACTACTCCTATCTTAGAAAAACAAGCACGATGCTCATGATGGACCCGAGCTGAGATTCAATTAATATCAATTATTAATATCAATATCAATTATCGATGAACGAGACGGAGGATAGTCTTCAATGAGATGCAATACAAATGCATGGTTGTGCATCTTCAGCCGGGATACCACAAATTTTACATTTCATACTGACATTTTGCTAATAAAATGCCAGTGACGCCTTCTACGCTTACCTATTATATATACTCTACCTAGATACCTAATACCAAGAGTCCGCAATAGAAAAGCCTCTATTATGGACTCTTGCTAATACCTCTACCTAGTTATTCAACGCTTACCGTGATACTACGCTGAATAATCTAGAAGGGGGGGGGGGGATCACACAGCTGTCTGTCTATAGTTTGCGCGTCAATAATGATGTTCAGGCCGGTGTATTTCTGGACGTATATAAGAGAAACCCACATATACACCGCAAAACGTTTATTGCACTTTTTATTCATGTGTAATTTTTATTACATTTTATACTTTTACAATATATAATATATAAGTTTTATTACATTGTCTAAAAAGAGAAAGTAGTCTATCTAAAAATGTGCGAAAATCAGGGCAGGCATGCAGGTAGCAGCAACGTTTGCAATAAAATCAGCCTTTTGCAAGAAATTACCAATAGTAGAAGCCAACAGATCTAGATTGTGTAAAACTTTACCAAGTTTGTAATAGAATCCAGCCAGCTTTTCTCGTAAATTCAGCTGCAGTCCGTTTACGTGATCGAATTGGTTTTTATAAATGGTTGGTGACAACGGCGTGAGCTACGGTACGTTACAGTATACTTTCGTAAATTGAAGAAAGCCTTCATAAAAACATAAAATAGCGAATATGTGCACAATGAACACAACGATAGTTTGATACATAAGGGTTACGCATAATGTAAAATTCGAAAAAATCGCTTCAAATGTACTTTTCGTTCGCAATCAGCTGTTCTAGGTTCTGCACCGCACGTTCCATTGCTCAGTGATACCGCTGTCACCATGGTTATGTTTGTGCGTCTTTGCCACAAGCATGCATTTTTAGACGTGAAGATCTAAGATGATAACAACGTGGGTAGTTTTCCATTTTCGATTATATAAGATATCACGTAAGCACATCAAATATCCTTTTCGTCCACTAGCGTGGGTAACAAGACCGTGTTACAAATCATATGAGTAATGGTAATGAAATAAATTTCATTGTATTACTAATAAAATAATTATATATATATATATATATATTATGTATTTATATCTACTGGATTAATGTCGTCGCCGCCAGGTGGCCCCACGCAACCAACATCGCAGCCTGCGTGCGTGGCATCGACACGCGAGATCTCGCGACAGACGACGGGTACGGCTAGCAAATTTCCGGTCTTTGCGCTGACGCTCGCGCGACCGTCATCAGCGGCGTCGCTTGCTACATCCGCAGGCGCCACCTGGCAACCGACGGCTTCTGACGGCCGAGAGATGGCGCTCTGCATGGTAGCCGAGCTGGTCGCGGCGGCGCGGACGCTAGACGGCGTGACCTCCGTGATCGGACGGACGACGTTCGAGTGCGGGACTTCGGGATGGACGACGGCAGACGCCGACGCGCGTCCGCACGACAGCAGCTCGCGAAAGGCCGTGCGGAACTCGTCGTTAACGTATGCGTAGATCCACGGATTGACGGCCGAGTTGAGAAAGACCATCATCATCGTGATACGGCGTCCGGCGGCGTACGCGGCCGAGTATCCGCGCACGGCAAGCACGAGCGAGTTGAGCACGTACGGCAGCGTGCAGACGACGTGCGCGACGACGACGATCAACATCAGCTTCGCCGTACGGTTCCAGCGTTGGAAGCGCGCCGCGTGCTCCCGCCGACGCGTCGACGTCGTCGTGGCGAGCCGACGCCGGTGGCGCCGCCGTACGACGGTGTACATGTGCGCGTAGAGCGACGACATCGCCACCATGATGACGATGAGGTGGACGAATAGCACGTACAGCGCCAGCTTATTGACGACCATCTCGGAGAGGCAGCGGCCGACGTCGGCGTACGTGTCGGCGAACAGCGTCGGCGTGCTCACGGCGACCGAGTACAGCCATGTGGCGGCGATCATCAGCCGCACGGAGCGCGGGTTGAAGCAGAGCTTGTAGCTCATCGGGCAGCTGATGGCGATGAAGCGCTCGACAGTGACTACGAGCAGCATGATGACCGACTCGGTCGTGTGCACTAAGCCGAGAAAGACGGAGACGAGGCACGTGGCGCGCTCGACGTGGAACGTCGTCAGCGGGAAGGTGACGGCAACGTTGACGCCCACCAGCAGGTCGGTGACAGCGAGGTTGACGACGAACCAGTTGGTGAAGTTCTGCAGCCGTTTGAAGCGACGCACGGCGACGATGACGACTGTGTTCGTGGCGATGATGAACAGACAGAACACGGAGAGAACACCCTGGAATCCATAGATGAAGCTCAGCGATAGGCGCATCTTGAATTCGCCTCCTCCTCCTCCTCCTCCTCCTCCTCCTCCTCCTCCGTCTCCTTCTTGTCCTCCTCCACCGTCCTTAGTCGCGTTGAACCACGTTTCGTTCATGTCAACAGACTTCTTCATGGCGCCTCGCACGGATGATGTCGTCGTCGACGATCGCCGAGCAGGTGTGCGGCGGGCGGCGTCGCTGCGAGACGACGCATGCACGCCGACGCGTTTCGCCACCATGCGCCGACGAGCGAATCACGTTAGCTCTCGCGAGACACATCACCCAATTGTGACATCCTAGCGTCGATCATACTTTTTGCAGGTGAAAACTTTTCGCGCTGCAATTAGGCGATGAAATGCGAGAGGCGGCACCCACGTCCAGCTGTGAGAGGTATAACGTGCGCAATTCGCATTTTTTCGGTTAAAAAACACATGCGACAGAAACGAATGTAGATTAGAATTTCCCGTCCACGAGTCCATTTCACGTGCGACACTCACCTGGGCAGACGAACAATAGCGACACGAGCCTGTAAACATATCATGATGCTAGATTAGCGCTGGTCATCGCACTCAGCAGGATTAGCTCGCGCTACGCGATACCGTATCATAAGCAGAAACATTACAATATACGATGTTATCCAATATGAACGCGAACGCGGGTGGCTTCCCTAATACCCACAATACCTAATACACACGCGCACGGAAAGGTAATTTTCGTCACAGGTGTCGCTAATGGCTTGCATATTAAATTTCGCATTGCTCTGTCGGTTTCTCGTCGTGATTCAAAATGGCGTCGTGGCGGCTGCCTAATGGTGAGCGCTCGCTGCTTTGTGATGATAGGTTGTGCCTTGAGCACGGCAATCTATTGCGATTAACTTCATTGCAAGCCAGCTGCACGCACGCCGCCTCCATTCACCGCCAAAACGAGAGGTACCGGTGACAAGTTCGCACCCACAAAATAACCCCCATTAGGCGAAATTACATTGCGTTACAGGGTTGTCTGCTTGATATCATGATTATAACGCACGCATGCACACACACACACACACACACACGCGCGCGCGTACACACACGCATGCACACGCACGCACACACACACACACACACACACACACACACACACGTCGTTGATAAACGGTGGCCTAGTATATTATGATTAGTAGGCCCCTACTCAGCACATCAGAATGTAAAGTTGAGCTCTTGATCAGCAAGAGCCGATTTTGCGATTAGCTTTATAGAAGCCAAGTCCAGCCAGTCATAGAAATGAATCTTCCGTCGCTACATCACGCGATTGCGGTACATCTATAAAAACCTCACCCCGTATCACCATCCCGTGCTGCAGGCACCAACGCAACGCAGTTTTCTGGGATTCCACGTGTTAAGACGCGCCATAAAACATTAAAAAAAACATTATGTTGGTATAACAGCACGAACGGATTGTGAACGAACCGAAACATTCAAAGCGAAGAATTTCGTGACATTTTTTGCAAATGTTTATTAGCCTGCGTTATAGCACGGTGACACAATATCAAATAATTACATCATTTCTCTTTTTCTAACAGCATCTACACGAGCAACTCAACGACCAATGAATATACAAACTAAACCGCGCTTCACACACGCGGCTGCTAAATATAGCTGTTAGAGAGATCAGCGAGCGTGTACATATATATTCGCTGACCAGCGATCTGCTGCATATCCGCTGCAAAGCCGTAGCAAGTGCACGCACGTGGTCCCGAAATACGTCACCCTTGCCGCTGTATAAAATTATCAAGTAAATTGATAAGTAGACATCGTTCGTAAAACTATCTGTACAGCTCGCCGCCGGCTACATCGTTACTGCAAAGTACGCATACGACGCTTACCTCGTGTGAGTATAGCCCACACGATGCCTACAACTTGCTGCCACCCTGCCACCTGCGCCAGGTATGCAGTGGTCACCTGCCACCCTCGCCAGATAACGGATGCGTTCCTGCTACCATCACCAGGTAGGGGATGCGTTCCTGCTACCTCTTCTAGGTATGAGATGCCAGCCTGCCACCAGTGCCAGGTAAGAAATGCTATCCGGCTACCTGCGCTAGATGAGAGGTGCTATCCAATATGCTATATAAATCGAAGTATTATTTCAGATCAGGGCAATACCGTTATATAGTACATGTATATAGGATATAGTACAGACCAATCAATATGTACACGCGTACGTAACACGAGCCCAGCATTTGTCACATAGTGAAGCAGCAACTGTACTAATGTCCAGTGGGAAGGCTAAGGAATAATCCACTGTAGAAGTATCAAGGGATAACGTCTAGCAAGAGGATTACATGGGTAGCATCCAGGATGAAGCTCGGGGGATAACTTCCCATAGGATGGTTCAGGAATAAAGACGAGTGCGAGCATAGGGGATAATTCCCGGTAGCATGGGATAACGGCTGGTGACACACGGCTGTGTGGAGGCGTCGTGTCGGCAGCCGCGTCGTGATAAAACCTCGCGACGCGAGTCTAAGAAAAGCGAGATCACAGTGACTTGGCATGATTACGACTCCCCCCCCCCCCCCCCACGAGGCGTCGCGACCCCTCGCCGCGACCTCGGAGACGCGACGTCCGCCGCCTCGCGAGACATCAGTTCTCGATGAAGGACAGCAGCGTCTCAATGTTCTTCACCGCGCTGTCGAGCCACTTCGCCGGCTTCGTCGATGGCGCCACCTTGTGGAGCTTGCCTGCGCGGCCGCCAGGGGGCGCATCCGTCTCGGCGGCGACCCTCGTGTCCGAGTCGGACGTCTCGCGTTCCGGCGGCGGCTCCGATCCGGAGGGCTTTCTCTCCGTTCCGGAGTCCTTCGTCTCGTCATCGACCCGCGCCTCCTCCTTGTCGCCGGCGGAAGCCGACGTCTCGCTCGCGGCGTCCTCGACTCTCGTCCCGGGATCCTCCGTCGAGGGCTTCCCCGGCGCGGCCGAGCTTCCCGGCTGCGCGCCGGTGTCCGCGGAGTCGCCTCCCCCCGCCGCCGCCACCGCCGGGGACGCCGCGCGGCTCGTGCGACCCGCCTCGCCCGGCGGCCCGTCGCCGGGGCGACCCTGCCTCCTCCCTGCTGCTGACTCGCCTTCTGGAAGCAAGAGAAAGAGAGAGAGAGCTGACGCATTAGGCACGAGTGCGGGAGATGCACGGATCTCGTTTCTTCGGCTAACCTTCGAGGGCGGGGACCTTTCGTGACGGAGGGACGGTTGTCTACGCCGAGCAACAGCGGTGAAACGATAGCGAATTAGTGGTCAGGTGACGCTGGTTTGGATTCAATCGTTACTCTCAGTGCTGTATTATTGTTAGTTATGAACTACTTGTAAGGTAGAGGTTTTACTACAGACATACCTTCACTGCTACACTGTTAGGTATGAACTACTTGTAAGATAGAGGTTTTACTACAGACATACCTTCACTGCTACACTGTTAGGTATGAACTACTTGTAAGATAGAGGTTTTACTACAGACATACCTTCACTGCTGTATGTTGGGGATTGACCACGAGTGAGTTCCCTTGCCTTCGCTTGCTGGTTCCTGAACTGCTCAAGTAGGAGATGAACTGTCTCCATAAACTCCTCGCTCAAATCACCATCGCAAGGTGGCGCCACCGAGAATATGAGCATCAGGGCTCGAATGTCCTTGAAATGGATTACGACAAAATTGTTGTGATCAGCAGAAACAAAAGCGAGGCGCGGATTGTGCTGGGCTTACCTTTAATCTCAGATGATTAAAGGTTAGAATATATGTCGGTGATTGGAATCATTAGAATAAGCAGCAAGAAGTCTTATAAATAGCTCCCCCGTTAGATTAAAATAGCACTAGAAAGATTTAATCATTAAGGGTACATGTAAAGACAAAGGACTTCTGATGGATATTTGAAAACAGGCAACATGACAACATCCGTGTTTGCTCAACAGTGCATGCTATTGTCGAAATGGAAAAAAATGTGCTATGCTCGAACTGATATATTGTCTGAAACCCCACGGCCTGTAAATGAAATGCCTTATTAGCTAGCTACACAGTGAAAGCCAACTATAAGCATTAAACATCTATCCATGCAGCAAAAAATACCATGGTATCTGCAGGGCCGTAGCCAACTCATTTTGCCTGGGGGAGAGGGCTCAAAGCCTTCAAGTTCAGACCACGTGCAGTTTTGTGTTGTGGGCAGTTGACCATGGTCAGCCAGTACGCCATTGGTTACTGATAATCTACTACTACTATCAGGTAATTTGAATGATTTTCGTTCCAATGCTGTCAATTAGATTTTGAATGAAGGGAGAACAGACATTTAAAATGTGCAACCTGCAGTGAACACGTAGCGTTGGGACAGCGATCTGAGACTTTAGCTTAGACACCATTCATACTGAAGCTCATAACAGATGTTCCATCATAGCCTTGGCCAACAAGATGTCCAATCCCCAACTAGGTGGTGCTTCCAAAATGTAATCAGCCATATTTGTTGCATAGACTGTTGCTAACTTGATTAAGCCAACGAAATGATCACACACTTCATCGTCCACGTTCACCTATCGTAGACAGAGAGTCACTTGCTCTGACGTTGACACATCATCAGTCTCATAACTCCAATATCGTGATCGTGAATTGTTCGATCTTATGCGTTCTCTAATCTCTTTCACACAAATAGCAACGAATTTTGTTCTGTATCTGGGATGATGTGTATTTTGCATTGCGCTCTGAATGCTGTATATGGTCAGCCAAATTCTACATCACATCATGATTTCCAGTCTACGAAAAAAACAAAATTTCCATCTTCGGTTGCTCTCTCTTTGTCCAAGTTTCCCCAACACGGTATACCCCGCTCTTGCCTAGTGCAGTTACAATATATTATATTACTGACAAAATGCCTTTTTTTGTACGAATCTGAACATCAGCTGCGTCTTTCAGCACTCCAGCAGAATCCCAAAGCCTGCTTTCTAGCATTGATGCAAGAAGTGTTCTTCCCCCTCCTTACACCATCCTGCAGCTACGGCCCTCTAACGAACACGGTGCTTAACACACATGCGACCAACAACACTACACTGGCATGCACGACGTACTGGGGTATGGTTCGCCTCCACACTTACCCCACACAGTGTGTTCGCCAGCTTGCTCAGCTCGGTGACCATGTCGGCGCGTGCGATTCTCTCCTGCAGCGTCATCAGCGAGCTCGTGATGCACTCCACCAGGTTCTTGTTGTTCTGCTCAGTCAGCACCTGCCGTGACACCTGTCGACAGGTAAGTGTAGGTAAGACAGAGTAGGAGTAGGTAGAGGTAAGCATTGACAGGTGTGTAGGTAAGACAGAGCACCACACTAGATAGAGGCAAGCATTGACAGGTGTGTAGGTAAGACAGAGCACCACACTAGGTAGAGGTAAGCATTGCCAGGTGTGTAGGTAAGACAGAGCACCACACTAGGTAGAGGTAAGCATTGACAAGTAAGTGTAAGCAAGACAGTGTGGCACAAGTTAGAGGCAAGCATTGAACGAGATAAGAAGGCAGAGCTCTGCATGCAGTATAGCCAAGAAGTGACCATCAATACACTCATCACATAATTGAGTTCGTATTTTCCTATGAATTCTAAGCTCGTTATTACAAGGTCAGAAGCTTAGATATACAAGAGGCCTACTAATTTAACCTAATCGCTATCCAAGTACAGGGTTAACATCTAAAACTACATTCAGTCACACACATGCATGCTGCTTAAGGTTTTAATTTCTGGATTATGTCGGGCAAGAGGACGACAAATTAGTCAGGATACAACAAAGAAGAAATTGCTTAAGAACTAGATCGCCTAGAACTGTCATGGCCGCCCATGCTGTCTGTACAGGCAGCAGCGATGCACATACCTTTGGGAAGAAGGTGCAGAAGAACTGGTAAATGACAGGGTTGATGAGCGATGGACGTTCATCTGTCAGCACGGCGTCGATGTAGTCGATGAGGTAGGTGGAGCCACAGAGCATCTCGATGCATTTCTTGTCGATTTGCTAGTAATTTAGAGACACAGGTTACTAAGCATTTTTCTAGCAATTTATAAACACAAGTAACTAAACAATCACCTGATAATTTATTAAAACAAATATGTTCCGCTAATTATTTATCACACTATAAGATTTTACTATTACTACTATTTATAACACAAATACCAAAACATTCCATTGGCAATTTATTAAACAAGTAACTATACATTTGGCAATCGTCCACACCTAACCGACGCGAGTACTCCATAATAGGAAAACATCAACATGTAACTATACAAACTGACTGTTACACGAAACCTCTGTTATATAGCACTGTTATATAAACCTCTGTAAAATCTCCAAGGACAACCAATAATAGATGATCATTAAACATTCACCTCTGAATGATAAACGTCCGACCAGAGTTTAGCAAAGAGCACGGAATGGAGAGGCACGCCTTCCACGGCCACCATACAACCTAATGAAAGGGAAGAATAGAGTCAGAAAACTTCATACGTATTAAACGATAAACATACCTCTACCATTATTAGCATAGCGAGTTCATATAGCTAGTATGTGGTAGCACCAGCTAGTTCATGATTACACATGCTCGCTCTGCTCGTCATATCGGTGCTCACGCAATCACACCACACAAGACGACAACTTCAAAACCTCAGACGGCAGAAAACGATATGTCAAACATACTCGAATCGCGACAAACGACAAACAAACTCCACACCTAACGAACACACTACCGCATACGAAATCCTGCCCGACCGAACTGAATTTTTTCACGCGTTCGTACATCTTTGCCACCCGTCGCGCGCCACAACGTCGCATGGTGGATGGACACACGCGCGCGCGCGCATTCACTCACTCAGGTTGATGATGTTTTCGTTGATGATGCCCTGGTTGACGGCCATGCGACACAGCAGGTCGATGTACTTGTGGTAGGGACAGAAGAAGTCAGCCAACGCCTGATCGTACGGCTCGTCTATCCCCTGTTAGCGATCGTACACGCGCGCATGAGAACGCAGCAGTGCGATAGCAGCTGACCCACGACACACACGCATAACAGGACGTGATCGTTAAAGCCAGTGCAGCCTTTGTTATTCATTCAACTTTGTAAGGCTGGTGGGTATATCAGATATAACTTATATATCCAGGAGGGTGGTGGGTAATGGGGGCGGGGCTTCCTAGAAGCTGTATCATAACGGTTTGATGAAACATTGGCTAGAACACGGTGAGTTTTTTCGGAAGCACAAACTTACACAGAGAGAGAGAGAGAGAGAGCAAAAAATTGCAATTCTTCTCTCAGAAAGTTGCCATTCTGTTAGCATTTCTGGCAGAATACCGTCACTCTGCAGGCAAGTCTGGCAGAATGCAGTCACTCTGCAGGCAAGTCTGGCAGAATGGTGTCACTCTACTGGCAAGTCTGGCAGAATGCCATCACTCTACAGGAAAGTCTGGCAGAATGCTGTCACTCTACCGGCAAGTCTGGCAGAATACCGTCACTCTGCAGGCAAGTCTGGCAGAATGCCGTCACTCTACTGGCAAGTCCGGCAGAGGACCATCATTCTCCTCGCGCCGTCGTCATCGTCATCGCGGCGTGGATGCTCATACCTTACTCGACTCCACCTGGTTGACGTGCAGGAACATCTGCAGCATGGGTCGCTGCGGACGGATGTTGGCCTTGGGCGGAATAGGTTTTGGCGTCCTGCTGGGGAAGTACGGCCCCGTTTGCACTGCAAACATAATGGCAGATGCGTGATCATTAGTGCTGTGAGAAAATCTACAACGATTTGACGTCACGACGCATTCGCGTAAAACGAAAAGAAATGGTGGCAGAACAAGGCGAGATGCTAGTGCAATTGGGCGTGGCCTATGGCTAATTAACACTTATAAAACAGTATAATATATATATGTTTAAACTTATAGTTTTTTGTATGTCGTCACTGCTACACCAGCACTGCCAGCACTATGCCACCATTTTACGGATGGAGTTCTGTCGCTCAATGGCACCGAGTGATGAGCTCGTCGAACCCACGCAGCGGCTACTGCAGTAGATCCCGAGTCCTGTAGAGACATCCACATCCCGAGACATCCACTACACATGTGCCACTATTCTATGACCAGACGTGCTCCTGTGCATGCATGTGTGCGATGCTGGCTCGATCACTCACCCGGCCAGTTGTTGTCCTGGAACTGCTGGTGAGCATGAAGGATGATGGGAGCCAGCGTCTGGATGCTCTCGTTGGGATAGAGCAGCAGCATCTCACGGAGAACGTCTGTAAGAGATGTAGATGTGATGCCACCCGTGCAGCTAGTCGGGTCATGACAGGTAAAGTAGTGTATGTAACGGTATATATGCCTAATGTGCACATATCACTCAGAATGCAGACTACATACACTTACATGCTGACAAACATTTACGTACACGTACGTATACATCTTGTATGTATGCGTGCGTGCGTGCGTGCGTATATGTACATGTATATGTACACTTGACGAGTATTTAGCCTATATTATGTGTGCCTAATTACCTATTTGATAAGTACCATAGCTACACAAAATAGACATCCGCTTAGTCTCAATTCAGATTTGACAGTGATGTCCCTTCATCCCGAACTTTTAATTAACAGTTGACCACGTTATCGGTCAACGACTACATAAGTGTCAGCGTGCGTAGTTACGTGGGTGTGCTAAACTCGCTGCGTGACACATACCGAGCGAGACCTGGCGGATTTCTCGCGGCGTATAGGAGTTGAGCAGGTAGAGGAGCTTGCGTCCAAACTCCATGCGATCCTTCCAGGAGTAAACAGCTTGCTTCACCTCGGCCACTGCGGAAAGCAGAAGACGTCGCGGTATTTTAAAGGAAATAATTTGTGTTATTTCTGCAGCTGACCGTAGACGACAACAATTAGTAGTTGCTTAGAATCACGTTAGTTAAGGTATATTGTTGGATAAACAATGGGGCAAGTTATAGCACATATAATAACACAAGCATTGTATGTTAGAGACTGCACAAGAGATGAAGCGACTAACAAAGAGATTGATGGATGAGCGCAGAAAGAATGTAAGGATTTCTTATTCTACCGTTATTTTATATTTTACAATGACCATTATACTAAGGATAGGATCGCATGCCCAGCATGGGACACCATCAATCACATATCATCATTAAATCTTTCCACCTAACGAAAAGCCTTTTCATGATTGACCATCTTGACCAAACACTGTACAGAGTTTCCAGACCAGGAGATTCCGTGAGTTTCCTGACCCGCACTAGCTTGACTCCCGACACACTGTGCTAAGCACATGGTTTGCCTCTACTTCAACGACACTGTGAACCTACCAGCCTCCTCCTCCTCTCCCTCCTTCTCACCCCAGCCGTACCTTTCTTGGAGCTAAATTGGTTGATTTCTACTCAATCGTGAAGTTCAAACGTACTGCTTCTGGTCAAATCTGACAACGTCAGTCAGCTTTGAAAAAGCCTCCTGTTAGGACGCGAAACGTTAGCAGTACGTTTGAGCTTCACGGTTGAGTAGAAATCAACCAAGTTAGCTCTATTATCAACCAACCAAATGAACTTATTAAAGGATTTACGTACCTTTCTTGTCGAGTAGGAACTTTGCGCATCGCAGCACCTCTAGCGTGATGTTGAGCAGGTCGACGATATCACCGATGACGTGGCACGCCGTCGCCTCGTGGTACATCGTGTGCAGCGTCGTGAACGCCTGAAAGTCACACGCGCGCGTGAGAAATCATGCTCACATGGTGGCATGGTCGAGTAGTAATAATGCCACATAATATGTAATACGCACACACATATAATATACCGATATAATATAATAATATGTGCATAATATATAACGATATATAAGGGTGACGTATATCACTGAACAGTCCGAGTGTGCCATATAATATGTAATATATATAAATATATATAGAGAGATGGATAGATAAGGGTTATACGTACATCACTGAACAGTCCGAGAGCGCCATGATACATTGCTACCATGCGATCTTCACTAGTCTTTAACAGGATGCGGTAGACACTGCAACGCAATCGCACGATTATGAAATACTACACGCGACGGAAGATCATATCATAGCCACCGTCTCCAATGCCACATTTAATAGCTGACGTTGATTCTTTTTTCGTGCATTTGAACCAATCGGCTTGCACGTTGCATATTCCGCCACTCTTACCGATGTATTACGTGTCGTATCACGATCCTGCGATCACACCGCGCCACACACATCGATACGCGTCGTATCGCAGCCCAAACATCGGACGGCAAAACTAGATCGTGCGGCCCGAATATCGTTTTCAGGATGACTAAAGTGGTTACGTTGACTACAGCCTACAGCTAGTACCTGATGAGCGTCGCCCAGCATGAGCGGCCGTCCAGCGACGCTGTGTACAGCTGTATCGTGTCCTGCTTGAACTTGTGGATCTCCTTCAGCTCCTGTTCGCTGCTGTCCGGGTAGCAAGTGACGAAGATCTGCATCAGCCTCATTAGCTCCTCGACGGCCTGTCGCGGTTAAAGTGATTACGTCACCATAAATAGTAATAGTAAACAAAATTATGTAAATTTTTTCACAAAATGTAAATGACTCTACTCCAACGTAACACTTAACATCTAACCCCAATGTTACAGACACTGCCATAATGCTACCCTCCCACTATGCTAATGATAGTGACATTAACCTATTGTTACACACACAATAACTTAATTTTACACAAATACTATCTTAATATTACCCTCACAGTATGCTAAATGTTATACTTACACTATGTCAATATTACCCTAATATTACCCTCACATTATGCTTATGTTACACTTACACAATGCCTATTTTGCCCTAATATTACTCTCACAGTATGCTAATGTTACGCTTACACTATGCCAATATTACCCTCACATTATGCTTATGTTACACTTACACAATGCCAATATTACCCTAATATTACCCTCACATCATGCTTATTTTACGCTTACACAATGCCAATATTACCCTAATAATTATTACCCTCACATCATGCTTATTTTACGCTTACCCAATGCCAATATTACCCTAATATTACCAGAACATTATCCTAATGTTACATCTACATGTTAATGTTACACCTACTGTCTTACACTACACCCCCCCCCCCACACACCAACCTAATGGTACCCCAGCACTACATCGGCACTACCTGCGCCGCGCGGTTCGTCGCGACTCACGTTTGCGTATCGCGTCGCGTAGGGGCTGATGTTCTTGAACGCCCACTGCATGTTCTGGTGCGTGGCGAGGTAGTGCGTGAACGAGCGCGACTGCTCGCAGAAGAGCCGCAGCAGGCCGTAGTAGGCCGGCAGCATGACGCGGTTGAACAGCACTACGTCCTGGTCCTCGTGGTCGGCCCTGTGGGGGGGGAGAGAGAGCAAACGCGCGGGGGCGACGCCGCCGTTAGTTCACCGAGAATCGTGCGCACCGTGGAAGTCTGTGCAGAAGGTAATATTACCCTCACATTATGCTTATGTTACACTTACACAATGCCTATTTTGCCCTAATATTACTCTCACAGTATGCTAATGTTACGCTTACACTATGCCAATATTACCCTCACATTATGCTTATGTTACACTTACACAATGCC